AGCCCCCGCGCCGCACAGCCCTCAGCTAGGCTCTACCCAAGCCGGCCTCAGCCCCGCATTTTGCCTTCTTTCCTACCCACAGGTCCCCAGCAGGCTCTTCGGGGAGACGTGGTATCCGGTATTAGATCTTCACACATTTGCATTTTTACAGCCCTGCATTTTGCCTTCTTTCCTACCCACATGGGTTCGCCAGCAGGATCTCCCTGTGCCTGCCTTTGTGCCCCAAAGCTTGCAAAGAATAATTGTCCAACTATTTAGTCGGTCTAAGAAAAGATAGGGTATAAATTGTAGCCATGTTGGTCTAAGGACACAGGCTGCCAGTCTAACCCTTGGTCTGAGGCGGGGTCACCCCTATACAACCCCCAGGGCTGGACACAGGCATGAGCAAACCAGGTGGCCACCTGGGGCCTGGGCAGAAACGGGGCTCGAAAGTGGTAATTTTTTTCCCCATTGTCTGATTATTATTATCTCTGGCAAAGGGGGCCCCAATACTAAAAGTTTGCCTGGGGCCACCAGTAATCTAGGTACGGTGCTGACAACCCCCCGCCCCACACAACCCTCAGCTAAACTCTACCTAAGACTGCCTCAGCCCTGCATTTTTGGCTTTTCTACCCATGAGAGCACACAGTTCTCCCTATGGCTGAAGAAGGGCATTTGTGCCCAAAAGCTTGCAAAGAACAATATTCCCAACTATTTAGTTGCTTTAATAAAAGATACTAGAGGTATAGGTTGTAGGCGTGTTGGTCTACCAATCCAACCACCTGCCTGAGGCAGGATCATCCCTATCCCACCCCACCCCGCTTGCCCCACACAACCGGCAGCTAAACTCTACCTAAGACTGCCTCAGCGCTGACAGGCAAACAACATTCTTTAGATAGATGTGATATCTTTTATTAGACCAACTGATCCTCATTGCAAATGTGTGGCATTTTCACAGACCTGCATTTTGGCTTCTATTCTACCTATGAGACCACACCGTTCACCAGCAGACTCTCCCTATGCCTCAAGAAGGATGTTTGTGCCCGAAAGCTTGCAAGCAACAATTTGTCAGGTAGAAACATCCTTCATCAGGCTGAGGAAGCATCTGCAATTGGTCTGTGCTCTTCCTAGATGGAATAGAAAAGAAGCCAGAGGCCAGTGTGTCTAATAAAAGATATCACATCTGCCCAAATAACCTTATTTGCCCATGTCAGGGCTGAGGCAGTCTTAGGTAGAGTTTAGCTGAGAGTTGTGTAAGGTGGGGGTGGGGGAGAGGTTGGTTGGATGGGATGATTCTGCCTCAGGCAGGGGGTTGGACTGGGAGGCCTCTGGAGATCGCTTCCAGCCCTGCTTCTCTAGGATTGTGGCAGGCTGAGAGGAAGGGAAGGGAAAAAGAAAAACCCTTCTCAGTTTAGGGCCAGGGGGTTTTCATAGGAAACTAGGGCTGGAAACAACCTCTGGTCAGTCAAGGTCATGTAGTGGGGCTGGAAAGGACCTCACAAGGTCATCTAGTCCAGCCCCCTGCTCAAGGCAGGATCCTCCCTGACTCAAACATCCCAGCCAGGTCTCCCTCCAACCTGCTGTTGAAAATTTCTGAGGATGAAGAAGCCACAGTATCTCTGGGTAGCCCGTTCCAGTGCTTGATTGCCCTCATAGAAAGTTTCTCCTGATTTCCAACCTAAATTTCCCCTGCTGAATGTTGAGGCCAATGCTCCTAGTCCAGTCCCCTACAACCACTGAGAAAAGCCCATCTTCATCCTCTCAACGATCACCTTTCACATCTTCGAACACTTAGCAAATACAAACACATGCAATTATTCTGTCCCAAGTGCAAGAGTTTCTATTTGTCTATGTTGAATCCCATCTGGTTTTGTTATGCTCCAGGCAGCTCTCCCTAACATGTTTGTCTGGATGTGGTTCCTTTGCCCCTGTTTGCCCCATTTGATCAGGGGAAAATAACATAGCCTGGGGATCCCTGTTTGACATCTCTGTGTCCACCTCAAGTGCACCACATTGCAGCCCCTGTCCTGCCTCCTCCCACACCTTTTCTGTTATGCATTTCCTATCCATAGCCCCACCAAGCCCCAGGGCCTTCTAGTCAACCTCCTCCTGGCTCTGACCAGGAAGGAGGCTCCAGCTGGGAGGAACCCGAGCAAGTATGAGGCTGTCTTCCTGTGACTCCTCTGCTCACATCTCCAGGCACAGTTTCATTGATCAGCATCTGCAGGCTCTCTCGACTCATTCAGGGGGCAGCAGGTGCTGGCTAGTGTGCTCAGCTCAGTGTCCCCTTCAAAATCCCTTGTTATTAACCTATGACCTCACTCTCCTTCCTGTTTTCTCTTTATTTGTCCCCCAGAATTAATTGATGTGTCCCCAGTGGCCTCTCTTATTAAGGGAGGCTTATAGTATTTCATGGTGGACCTAATCCCATAATCTTTGGCACGTTAAATGGGTCTGTTTGAAACCTCCGGGTTTAGCTTGTGAAGCCTGTATTAGGTGTTTGCCCCTCACCATGCTGATATGGTGAGGTGGCCTTCAAAGGATCTTACCATGCTGATTTCATGAGGCCTCCTCCAAAGGATCTCACAGTGCTGATCTGATGAGGCACCTTTCAAAGGATCGCACTGTGCTGCCATGATGAGGCGTCCTTCAGAGCACCTCACTATGCGGTTATGGTGACTATCAGCACCTTAAAAGAATCTCGCCCCAGTTAAGAACCCCTCCTTTAAGGACTAGAAAAATCCCAGCTTGTGCTCAGTGATCTTTCACAAGTTGACCTTTTATTTGCTTATGGCTATTGAGAGATTTTTTGTGTTGGCAAATTGTTTCTTAATTTGGTTGTGTGCCTTGAGCTACAGGGCCCAGTCAAAGACAGCAGGGTGGATAAGATGGACAGCTGACTTTGACCCATTAAGTTTCTCATAAAGGTCCATCTTTTTCTGCAGCAGCAGGAGTAGCCCCTTTGTTCAGGAGTCAGCTGCAGGATGCCTGAAGGCAGTTGGTGCTGCCCTCTGCTCTAAGGACAGGCTGGCCTGTAAATCGTATGCCACTGTCCTGATGTACAACATTTCTGTACAATTGCTGCTGTGATATTGTTACGAGGCCACATAAGAAACAGAAGTGAATACTGCAGAGTTACGTGGCAAGTGTGGTCATTTCTGCATGTGCAATTCCCTATTTCTAAATGTTATAAATTAAGGAATGCATAAATTTTTCTATTTCAAAACAGAACAACCATGAACTATAAACAGATAAACAGCAAACAAAACCAGGCAGGAGAAATGTTTGACAAAAAAGTTGTGTATATACATATACATATACACACTTTTCTGTTCACAACATAACATATCCCATTCCCTTGCCAGAGGAAATCATATCAGTGCTGAGATGTAGTGTTAAAAAAATAGCTCCATAATTTTTCTGAATTTCACAGCACCCCACGTAAAAAACCACTGAAATGTAGTTCTAATTTTCTATTCCAAATGTTACCACTATTGTAGCACCAACAAATGTCTTAGATGAATGGCAGACTATGATAAATACATTTATTTGGGGAATTTATAAACCTAAATTGCAAAATTCCATTGTGCAATGGTTTCCACAAAAGTTCCCAAACCTAATATCTGATTTCCCAAACCTAATTTTGAGATTTCCCAAACCTAATGTCTTGGATTTAAGACCCCCAGGGGTTGTCTTCCAAACATTAAATGTTTCCAAACATGAAATATTACTACCAAACTAGCCAGTTTAGAAATGTGGTATATTGGATAACACCAATTCACTGTAAACATTGAGTAAAAATACAGCAAATACACTGGCCAGCAGTCAAACTTAATATATTAGCATGGCTAAAGTAATCTTTCAGGTCAAATTCAATATATAATCACCCCTTTGTGAAAACAATGAAAACCTGGGATAACACATATAAAAGAAATTAAGACTGCACACATCACCTCTAGCACTTATATGTAATAATATTGAATTTAATCCTAATCATTTATTAGGAGGCTTTAATATATAGGAACATGTTAGTATTATAGATTTTGAAATATATATTGCTTTTGATGAAATAATGTACCACAGGTGGCATTAAAATCTCATTTTTCCAATACCTGCAATTGAGACACTTTACAACACACTCCCCCCAAATGGTAAACCTTGGTAGAATTCTGACAGAATTTTAGGAAATATTCTTCACACCTATGAAACACAGAGGCCTATTTTCTATATTCTATAAAGCAATTTTAAATAAACAGTGTTTTTTTTCCATATGGCTGTGACAAAATAGGCTAATGACATCGGATCAGAAATGAGTTCTGTGCCAGATGGTGTCCCATTCCTCAATGGTCTTCACACACCCATCTGCACAGTAGTAAAAGGAAATTATTTTAAAATCCTATATTGATTTCTCTCTCACTCCACTTAAATACATTTATGGTACAAGAGCAGGCACATGTTGAAGGAAGTGTGAACAGTTGTGAGAATCCTACTACATGTAGTGGACACGTCCCAGAATTAAACTCTTTTGGAAGAAGTTTTGAGACATACAGAGGGA